TTTTTTTATATTTTTTTTATTATGTAATATTTTTTTATTATTGAAATTAAATATTATTATAATTTTTGTTTTGTTAGTTATTTATATTTATATATTATTTATAATAATTAATTTTATAAAAATTTATTATAAAATGTAGTATGAGGTGTCAAAAAGTGTAGTATGAGTTGTAAAAAAATAGGAGTTCTTACAAGCAATTTTTATTGGAGCAAAAATTGTAAAAATATAGTATGAGTTGCTTATGAGTGACGTGGCACAGTGGGACCCATTTAAAGTGGTGGGGAGTTGCTATAAGCAACTCCCATTGTAGATGCTCTTAGAGTGTACTAATCCTCCATGTTACACATATACACATGTCTCCATATTGGTGAGATATTGTCCGTTTTGGACTCAAGCCCTTACGGATTTGCTTTTGGACATTACCCAAAAAGTCTCTCAACCAATGGAGACAAGTGTGTGTATATAAACCCATGTCTGTCCTCTTGTTTAAACGATGTGGGATTTTGGTTGCATCCCAACAATCCTCCCCTCAAACAAAAGACCACAGTTCCCTTGCAGCGGAAACAACGAGTATTATTCGATGGTGGCCCCACAGAGCTCACTCACGCTCAGAGTGCACTAATCCTCCATGTTACTGTATCATAGTTTTATCAATGGCTGAGAGTGATTGGAAAACACAGAGGAAAAGAAAGGAGATTGAGAAGAAAACAAAAACTGAATGCAATAATATTTCTGAATGTAGCCACCGAAAATTAGAACTGTACAAATATATAACAGAATGAGAAACTAAACAGAAATTGCCTAGGCTACCTGCTAAACAGGTTATACTAACTAATAAAAGAATATGAAACTAAAATACAATTAGTAAACAGAATGTTGTAATAGCCCCACTCAAGTTGGACGAAAAATGTTTTTGAGAGCCAACTTGCTAGCTAGATCTTCAAACTTATGTCTTGGAAGAGCTTTGGTAAAGAGATCTGCTATTTGTTGATTTGTCTTCACATGGATAAGCCTGATGAAACCAGATTCAACATGTTCTCTGACAAAATGGACATCAATGTCTATGTGCTTTGATCTTTGATGGGAGATGGGGTTAGTTGACAGATATATGGCTGAAATATTGTCACATAACACCATTACCATTTAGGTTGAGTTTGGAAGAATCTTAAGAGTTGTTTGAGCCATAATAATTCTGAAGTAATAGAAGCAATTGCTCTATACTCAGCTTCTGCAGAAGATCTAGATACAGTAGCTTGTTTTTTTTTTATTTCCATGTTAGAAGAGAATCTCCCATGAAGATACAGAAACCTGTGGTGGATCTTCTGCTGTCAACACAACTTCCCTAATCTGCACACTACAAGAAATTCGTCATTTTGCGGCGTTTTTTTTTTTTTTTTCATATTGCGGCAGTTTTCGCCCCCCTCAAAAAAAGTAATGGCGTTTTATCAAAACGCCGCAGTTACGTTCGCCACTAGCATTATACGACGATTTTTACCAACCTCCGCTACCTTTTCCATTCTGCGGCGTTTTGTTTAGCGGGGGGTTTTGACCTCAATTTGAATGATGTTTTTTTTATTTTTTATTTCACAATATATTTTATTTTTTTAATCTAAATTACATTTAACTTGTATACAAAAAAATAAGGAGGTACTCATAATATAATCCAAATTCCATTGGATAATATTAACTTTTTTATAAGAAAAAAAAGAAATTAATGGAAATACAAACTATCAATAGAAACCCATAATATAGACAACAAAATGTCAAATAAATTATTAAAGTTGTTCAAGATTAAAGTCCTAACCACTAAATTATTAAAGCTCCATAAACTAATTATTTCAAAAGCTTAAACTAAATACATAAAGAAAAATCTTTCAGACAAATTAATATAATTGAGGAGAATTTGATTATAGCTCATTAAGTATGGGTTTTCATATTAAGAGAGATTAAGAATTCTCACTATTTAATTTATATTTCAATAAAAAAATAACTTTTTATATTTCAATTGTCTCGACTATAACAAAATTGTCAGAAATAATATTATTAACATCAGCCACAAGGGTTAACAATCAAATCAAGGATACATCATACAATAATTCATCAAAACAACTGCCAAAATTCTACCTATTATGTCCACTTTGGCATCACAATCAGAAGAGTACTCATTATCACATGCAAATAAAGCATTCTTTGACTGGAATCCGCTATCATCCGAATCAACCCAGTCAACAAAATGTCTAGATTTCGCATTTGAATTTTCCAAACGCTGCAATTCACCTTCCATCTCTTGGATCTTTGACACATAAGATTTAACCAGGTCATAATCCTAGAAACAAGTTTGGACCGTGAGTCAGTGATGGATTGCTTCTAAATGATAATGGAGCATCATCCCAATGTGTGAGAAAAGTGATTCAAGTAAACAAAATGAAAATTACCTCTTTACAGCCAGGTAAAATCACTACTTTAAAAAGATCATATAATGATTTTCGGACCACTTTATCATCATCACAAATGCGCTCACGAAGTTTTTCTATAGCAGTATACTTGTTCAACCTTTGTTCTTCTGGATATCTGATGAATAAATTCTTAATACCAATCAATGCATCTGTAATTTAGCAAGTAGAAAAGAAAGAGTATTAATACAAGGATTACCAAATTTAAATGAAGATTGGAATGTTTAACAGGATTAAATAAAGCAATGGAATTAATTTATGATATTACAATTCAAAAAGAATAATAGAATATTAGGAATAGGAACCAGGTCAACACATTAAAGCAATAAAGACATGCCATTAGAGAAATAGCACCAAGTGCTACGTCAATTTAAGCAGCTGAATCAGTAGCTACAGTTGCTTGTTGTGCAGCACCTGATCCTACAACTGATCCTGCATGATTAGGAGTCAAATTATGAGTTCTTTTCTTTACAAATCCACAAACAGCTGGTGCAGTGAAAGTTGCATTTTCAGGGTCTTCAAACGGTGCATCAGTGGCAGCAATATTTGCATGAAGGACAACACCACCTAAACCTGCATGATCCGTGATCAAATTCTCTTCAAACGGTGCATGTGCAGTATGATCCGTGCCATTCGGTGGAGGCAGTCCAGCACCTGCTGCACCACCATTCTGTGCTGAAACAGGTGCATCATCCAAACTCCCTACTGCACCAAAGAGACAACCGCAGCCACCCCGGGTCCAAGTTTAACGAGCCAACTGCAAGAACCACTCCAAGATCATGGGAGCTTTGAAATTCTAGCTCAAAGAATTATACATCCATATAGCACTAAGAAATTTCACAAAATACTAGAGTCAATTGAGCACCTAATATTAGAGAAAGGAAAACATGACCAAACATTAAAATTAATTCATTAATCATTTTAGTAGCAAAGTATTCCTAACAAGTAACACCAAATCCTTAGCAATTAGCACCACATTTTTAAAAAGTATATAAGCAGTAGGGATTAGCATTAAAACTAGGCTTATTTGTCGTGCATACCTCTGGAGAGAACAGTTAAGGTCCGTTGATATGTGCTCTGATTTGCCTGTAACAGTTTATAGCCAGGTAAAAATGCAAAATATTAAGAAATCAGGTTAGCCAAAGAGCCATCAAAGCACTGTTTCTCAAATTCAAATCTTTGGATAATGAAACTTTAACACATGCAAGAGAAAAAAAAAATACATGTGCAATCTAGCAGATGGAAAAGCTGTTTTACCTCCCATGGATCAACCATTACAAAATCTGAACTTTTGCAGGCTAAATGACACAATCGTATTCGATGTTCAGCAGATATTAGGCTCTACATAAACATACAAGCAAAATACAATTAGACCGACATATGGCAGTGAAACTAATAGCAAAACACTTGATTAATAAACATCATAATTTCATGAATAGTACCATTAGATTTTTTCTACACAATAACCACATTCTGTAGCGAGGAAGAATCCTTTTAGGGTTTACAACATTAAACCCTAGACTAATTGAAAATAGGGGGATACCCATCTGCGCCAGTTCCTATTCTTATCAAAACAATGCTTCCTTGGATAATGCTTCCTTGACCTTAGTTGCTGCAGGCTTCTCCATTCCCAAACCCACTCCGTCGCGGCCCAAATCAACGCCAACTCCGCCACGCCGCGCGCCGTAGTGGCCCAGGTCAAGTCCCTCTTCGACTCAGCCCAACGCGCCTTCGACTTGCCGCTCTACATCCTCGTCAACTCCGTCGGCATCAACGACGGCGCCTACACCTCCGTTGCCGACACCACCGTCGAGTCCTTCGACCGCATCTTCGCGGTGAACGCGCGAGGCGATTCGCCTGCGCGAGGGAGGCGGCCAACTGCTTGAAGTGCGGCGGCGGGGGGCGGATCAACCTGCTGATGACGTCGCTGGTGGCGGCGCTGAAGCCTGGGTATGGCACGTACACGACGTCGAAGGCGGCGGTGGAGGCAATGGCGAAGACCCATCGCGACCGAGCTGTTCTTCGAGGGGAGATTTTCCGCTTTCTTCGAGGGTGTGGGGAGAGGTGGGGAAGGGTTGGGAGACGAGGAAGGGTGTTCGCGGGGAAATGTAGACAAAATTGGAGGGATTTGGTGAAAATAAATTGGGGCGAAAATGATGAAAAATTTTCAGGTAAAATTTGCCTATGAATTTGGGAGGGCATAAACCTCCTCAAAAAATGATAAAAACCGCCACTATTGTTACAATTTTGAGTGTTCCCCCAAAACACCGCAACTCATGTTAATTTGAGGGGGGTTTTAAAACCTCCGTAAAATAACCCCCACTAAATAGCATTTTTTTTGTAGTGGCATCTACATATGCACTCAGATTGAACTTAGATTGGGAAGAGAAAAAAATTCCTTGCCCCGGAGTTGCCTTCAAGTAGCGGAGAACCTGATGAACAGCTTGAAGGTATGGTGTTCTAGGATGGCTCATGAATTGGCTTAGCTTGTTTACAGCAAAGCAAACATCAGGTCTAGATATGCTAATGTACATGAGTCTTCCGAGCAGCCTTCTATAAGCAGAAGGGTCTTGAAGTGGTTCTCCATCAGTTGAGTTGAAATGCTGGTTTGGATCCATTGGAACAACAGCTGGCTTTGCATTGCTAAAACCCGTGTCTTCTAAAAGTTGAATAGTATATTTCCTTTGGCATAAGTGAATGCCTTGATTTGACTTAGCAATTTCCAACCCAAGGAAATACTTGAGATCTCCGACAACATTCAGTTTAAACAAATTTTGAAGTAGATTTTGACATTTTTGCAAAGTATCGATAGATGGTCCTGCTAGTATTATGTCATCTACATATACTAGTAGATAAACTATGTTGTTTCCACTACCGAAACTGAAGAAAGAGTAGTCACTTATGCACTAAATAAAACCATGAGACTTCAATGATGTAGAGAACCTCTTGAACCACTGTCTTGAGGTTTGTTTTAGACCATAGAGGGACCTATTCAACTTACACACAAGATTACCTTGATCCTTTTGATTTATTTTGTATCCCTGTGGTATCTTCATATAAACTTCTTCAGTTAGATATCCATTCAAGAAAGCATTTTGAACATCCAACTGTATGAAAGACCATTGCTTAATGGCAGCAAGGCACAAAAGGACCCGAACAGTAGTTATGGTGGCCACTGGTGAGAATGTATCAAGGAAGTCTATGCCAGCTTCTTGTGTAAATCCTCTTGCAACAAGTCTAGCTTTTCTTTTTGCTAAAGTGCCATCAACATTGTATTTGACCTTATAGATCCATTTACAGCTTATAGCCTTTTTGTCTTTTGGTAATGGTACAATATCCCAAGTGTTGTTGACATCCATGGCTTCTAATTTTGTTGCCATGGCGTTCCTCCATTCAGGGAATTGAATAGCTTGATGGTAGTAGGTAGGTTCATAGATACTGCTGATTTGCATGGTGAAATCTCTGTGTTGAGGAGATAAGTTGTCATAGGAAATAAAGTGGTGTATGGAATGTGGGGATTTTAGGTTGGGAATGGAGACTTGGTAATCATTTAGATATGAGGGAAGGTTGGTTTGTCTAGATGATCTTCGGGTAGTGTCATGTGTCTGTGAAGTGGGATTTTGATTGGGGATATCTTGGTCAGTTTCAGTAGGTTCAGTTTCAGTTGTAGGGCGTGTAGAAGCATCTTGATTGTCATATAAGGGTTGCTCATAAAATTCTTGCGCAATAGACTGATTTGTTGTTGGCTTAGGAATGACAATGTGGCGAAAAGGATCTGGACTCTGATTATTTTTGGATGGAAAGGTGAACTGCTGAATGACAAAAGGCATG